ATTTTGTTAATTGTGTTGGGTTTGTTTTTGTAGGTCCTTTTCTTCTCTTGTGTTTCTCACTTAGAGAAGTTCCTTTAGCATTTGTTGTAGAGCTGGTTTGGTAGCGCTGAATTCTCTTAGCTTTTGCTTGTCTGTAAAGCTTTTGATTTCTCCATCGAGTCTGAATGAGATCCTTGAATGGTAGAGTAATCTTGGTTGTAGGTTCTTCCCTTTCATCACTTTAAGTATATCATGCCACTCCCTCTGGCTTGTAGAGTTTCTGTTGAGAAATCAGCTGTTAACCTTATGGGAGTTCCCTTGTATGTTATTTGTCGTTTTTCTCTTGCTGCTTTCAATAATTTTTCTTTGTGTTTAATTTTTGCCAATTTGATTACTATGTGTCTCGGCATGTTTCTCTTTGAGTTTATCCTGTATGGGACTCTCTGCACCTCTTGGACTAGGGTGGCTATTTCCTTCCCCATGTTAGGGAAGTTTTCGACTATAATCTCTTTAAATATTTTCTTGGGTACTTTCTCTCTCTCTTCTCCTTCTGGGACCCCTATAATATGCATGTTGTTGCGTTTAATGTTGTCCCAGAGGTCTCTTAGGCTGTCTTCATTTCTTTTCATTCTTTTTTCTTTATCCTGTTCCGCAGCAGTGAATTCCACCATTCTGTCTTTCAGGTCACTTATCCATTCTTCTGCCTCAGTTATTCTGCTATTGATTCCTTCTAGTGTAGTTTTTATTTCAGTTATTGTATTGTTCATCTCTGTTTGTTTGTTCTTTAATTCTTCTAGGTCTTTCTTAAACATTTGCATCTTCTTGAACTTTGCCTCCATTCTTTTTTTGAGGTCCTGGATCATCTTCACTATTATTATTCTGAATTCTTTTTCTGGAAAGTTGCCCATCTCCACTTCATTTAGTTGTTTTTCGTGGGTTTTGTTTTTTTTGTTTTTGTTTTTTGTTTTTGGTACGCGGACCTCTCACTGTTGTGGCCTCTCCCGTTGTGGAGCACAGGCTCTGCACGCGCAGGCTCAGTGGCCATGGCTCACGGGCCCAGCCGCTCCGCGGCATGTAGGATCTTCCCGGACCCGGCCACGAACCCGTGTCCCCTGCATCGGCAGGCGGACTCCCACCCACTGCACCATGAGGGAAGCCCTTTCCTGGATTTTATCTTGTTCCTTCATCTGGTAGATAGCCCTCTGCCTTTTCATCTTGTCTGTCTTTCTGTGAATGTGGTTTTTGTTCCACAGGCTGCAGGATTGTAGTTCTTGCTTCTGCTCTCTGCCTTCTGGTGGATGAGGCTATCTAAGAGGCTTGTGCAAGTTTCCTGATGGGAGGGACTGTTGGTGGGTAGAGCTGGGTGTTGCTCTGGTGGGCAGAGCTCAGTTAAACTTTAATCCGCTTGTCTGCTGATGGGTGGGCCTGGGTTCCCTCCCTGTTGGTTGTTTGGCCCAAGGCAGTGGAGCCTACCTGGGTTCTTTGGTGGGGCTAATGACAGACTCTGGGAGGGCTCTAGCCAAGGAGTACTTCCCAGTACTGCTGCCAGTGTCCTAGTTCTCATGGTGAGCTGCAGCCACCCCCTGCCTCTGCAGGAGACCCTCCAACACTAGCAGGAAGGTCTGGTTCAGTCTCCCTTGGGGTCACTGCTCGTTCCCCTGTGTCCCAGTGCGCACACTACTTTGTGTGTGCCCTCCGCGAGTGGAGTCTCCAGTTCTGTTGAAGTCCTGCAGTCAAATCCCGCTAGCCTTCAAAGTCTGATTCTCTAGGAATTCCTCCTCCCGTTGCCAGAACCCCAGGTTGGGAAGCCTGACCTGGGGCTCAGAACCTTCACTCCAGCAGGTGGACTTCTGTGGTGTAAGTGTTCTCCAGTTTGTGAGTTACCCACCCACTAGTTACAGGATTTGATTTTACTGTGATTGCTCCCCTCCTACCATCTCATTGTGGCTTCTCCTTTGTCTTTGGATGTGGGGTATCTTTTTTGGTGAGTTCCAGTGTCCTCCTGTCAGTGATTGTCCAGCAGCTAGTTGTGATTCTGGTGTTCTCGCAAGAGGGAGTGAGAGCACGTCCTTCTACTCCGCCGTCTTGGTTCAGGGCACATCAACTTTAATTTTGATACATTGTAGTGTGTCATTAGGAGAGTAGGAGTACATAGGCGACTTTCCTAATCCCTTCCTCCAGAAGGTCCTTAGTGTCTCTGTCAGGAGCACAACAGTGGACCTGGGTCTTGTCTGACCCAGTGTGACATTTCTAAGACTGCTTCCCCTTGTGACCACCACTTCCAGTCCACATCTCCTGTTTTTCTGAATTCATGTGGGAGTAGCTCGCAGAGGAAATGCACTCATTTTGCTGTTTCTGCGTGATACCTTTTTGTACCTTGGACTGCTCCTCTAGCTCTGGTCAGTGTTACTAAGTCCACAATAGTCAAGTGTCCTGGTTAGGAGATATGTACTGAGTTCTGAAGAAAATTGTCAAATATGTCTCTGCATCATATGCCAGGAAGCTGCTGTAAGTGAAGGGAGCATCGATAGGGAGGGATGGCAGTTGGCCACAGTTTCTGAAAACGGGGTAGCTTGGGAGGCTGTATTCTATTTAGTTTGGACATTAAATGAATTAAAATGGACGTGCTTAAGTTATGAACCTTGCCTCATCAGTGCTATAAAAACCCCTTTAGCCGGGCTGTAATTTGACTCTTCTCTCTGTAATGTTGTACAGTATTCCTATGGTTACAGAGCCTGCATAAGTGGAAGCTAATCATTAGTTTGCTAAATGTGGTTCATGGAACAGTTCACAACTCCCAGACCTGCCAACTGCTGCTTGTTTAGTGTCCTGTTCACTCTTCTTGGGTAAAAGTTGGTTTGTTCCACAGAAAAATGTACAGTAACATTTGTCTCGTGTCCAGGAACCACAAACTATGGCAGCACTCCATGTTTCTTGGAGATGAAGAGGGGAAAAGGTCCCATTGAGCAAAGTTTTTTGGTACATACACTTCCACAGGAAGAAACCATTAAAGGAGTGGGAGATGGCAAAGCAAGAAAAGAATTAAAGCTGGAGAGGTTTTGGATATTTGGAAAACCATACTTTGTTACTTTTCAGAAATTTGCTGTGATTGAACTCTGGAGTTCACAATTCTATGGCCCTAGAAATAACATCATGCTCTTTAGGTTCTTCCTTGTTTGTTTCATATGACAAGACAGGCTTCATTGTTGCCCAGGATCACCTGCAAACAAACAGCCATGCTGCCATTAGGAACCAAACACTTATTGAACCAGGGCCCTATCCTCTCATCTTGCATTGTGTGTTAGGGGAACACACAGAGAGCAGTAGGTACCAGCTGGATTTGTGTCCTTACTTGGGGATTAGGGCCTAAATCCTTAAGCCACTCATGGTATTTGGCCTCTTCTTACTAGAATGAAAGTGGGTTCTTTCCCAGTTAATAGAAAATGTATTGTGCCCACCTGTGACTCATTCCCCTTCCCAGCTGAAAGGCTGTGGGCCCTGCAGAAGGAACCTCTTTCCTCTCAGAGACTGTCCAGAAAGAGACAGTCTGGTGGCTGTCTCTACTATATCATTTAGACCTCTGAAAAGCAGAAAACCTGACCTCAACTAGCTTAAGGAAAAAGGGAATTTATTGGCTTACGTGATTAAAAAGGCATGGCGAGACGCAAGGGCTCAAACCATGTCACCCAGACCTGCTCTCTCTGCCTCTCTCACCTTGGCTGTGTCTGTCAGGCTCACCTCTCACGCTTCACGCGGTGGCACCTAGAGCAGCAGTATAACCTCCCAGTGCAAGCACAGCAGGAGACAGCAGGTGTCTTTTCCCCTGTCCTGGAAAAGTCCTGGATTTCATGCTGCCCAGTCTTGGACCACCTTGAGCCAGTCCCGGGGTCCAGAGATATCTCATTCCCCACCCCTGGAAGGGTGGGGCCTCCCCTGAGTAGGTGTGAGAAAAGGGTAGCAGCCCAGCTGAAAAGAGGAACGGGAGCTGGGAGGCACATCGCCAGAAGCTGGATTCCCCTTCAATGCCCTGAGAGACTCTACTTCCAACCACCTCGCCAGCCAGAAGACGGAGGTCTGCTGGTTTGTGAAACAGTTCAGCCTCTGCCTCGTACTCTCGCCTGCCTGTGTGCCGCTCAGAAAGACTGCAAGGATTCTTTCTTCTTTTACAGTACACGTTTATCTGAAATACACACATTTGTTTGGAAGTCCGCACAAGAGGAAGAAATGATCAGGAGTTGATATCATTATGGTGGTTTTGTTGCATGTCTTGGTTTAGGGCCATTTAAAATAGATAAGTAACGGAATCAAGTCATAGTTTAGAAAATATAAAAACCACAATTCTACCACTCTAACCTCACCACTCTTTTCAATGTAGAGTATTTCCTTTCAGCCTTTGTTCATTTGAGTTTCTCACAAACTTTTAAATCTTTTTTTTTTTTTTTTTGCTTGACATTACATGATAATTCAGGCATTTTCCATTTTGCTATATAGTTATCATTATCATGTAAATGCAACATGATCTTCCATCGGGAATATACCATGATGAACTTAATCATTCTATCACGGGCTGTTTATGTTTTTCTTTTAAAATTTATTCTGCTCAAAAAAAAAAAATTGTTCTGCTGTTATCAAGAGCAGTGTATGTTGAACATTTGGGATGTGTGTAACTTTCTCATGCCTTTATCTTATTTCCTGAGGATGGGTTGTGAGAAGTGGGATGACTGCTTCAAAGTGTATAAACCTTTTTAGGACTTGATACGTATTGCCAAATTGCTTTTCAAATACGTTGCATTTATCTCATCTGCCTCCAGCAGTTTCTTAGAGGATTAGTTTCATTGCATTTTTGCCAGCAGTAAATATTTGGATTTTTAAGCATTTTTCTAATTTAATGAGGAAAAAATAGGTGTCCTTTTTTACTTTGGATTTCTTTGTTTAGTAGGGAGGTTGAATGCTTTTATGTATGCTTGGTTTTTAGCTGTATTTTCTGCTCTGTTTTACCCATTGTCTTTTCTTCATTTCAGACCCCAAAACAGCTTCTGAAACAGAAACGGATATCTGTGCCGAGTGGGAGATAAAGACCATCACTAGTGCTTTGAAAACCTACCTAAGGTAGGGACTTTCCATTTGCGGTGCATGATGCCAGCTTGTTATCATGCAATCAGGAAGAAAGTTTTATTTTCAGCCTCCAGAGAGCTGTTGGGTGGGTGTTTGAGATGTGGAAACAGCTTATGTGTGGGTACAATTAGCTCAGCTGGTCAAACCGATTATAAATCATCCCTAGTTGATGGGTTGCCATTGTGCAATGGTGCCATGAGTGATTTAGGAAGCTTTGCTCTTTTTGAGAAGCCACTATGATGATTAGCCTTTAACAGAACCTCAAATGTGGAATTCCCTGCAATCCCCGAATAATCTGCTAAAAAGCAAGGAATTGCGTATCCTATTCTGTTGAGAATGTGTGATTACATACCCTACGTATTTGGGGAGCTCTGCGCCTTGCACAGATAGAGTATACTGCTGACATTGCTCCTCAAAAATGAGAACTTAATGGCGCTCCTTTTTGACTCCTTCTGCTTAGATTGGAGAATATGACTTCATTGGAGAGGAGACTGCTTTCCTTGTAATGATACGTGTAATATTCCTGCTACCTCCCACCACCCCCACCGTGGTTATTAAGGGAATGGGTGATTGACCAGCTGCTCACATCTCAGTTTCCCGAGTAGACTGAAAGCCATGCTGGACCTGAAGTATAGGAGTATGATAGCTCTCCACTGTAGTTCTTCTCACACAGGAAAGTGGGGGTCTAGTCTTAAACAGAATTGCATAAGCATTTGTACAGGCTTGTCAAGATTTAAGTCGGCTCAAAAGCCACAGAAAAGGAATTGGTGATGCAGGTTTTATTGGCTGTTGGGGAATTGCTGGAAGGCTCTTGGAGTCAAGAGTGAGATGTCATGCAAGTGAAGACTAAGAGTTGAATCAGGGGATCCGATGAGAATAAAGTAAAATCTGAACCAAGACTCATGGATCGTCTGTTGAGAAGCTTATCATTTAGACTATCAGTAAAAAACCCTCAAGTTTACAGCTAAACATATTCATAAAACATTTTCATATCCCAAATAGTACCATTGTAGTTTACACAAAACCAAATGGTAGAGGTTTGTATTTGGTACTTATTTGTGCATGTTAATATTGATTAGCTAATGGACAATAAGTATAAAATATAAATATATTTTAAATAGCAGATAAAATTTGATTGTATCATGCCTAATATTAAGGGTTCTAGCCCTTTGGCATTCTGGAGCAACACTCCATAGTGAATTTGCCACAAAAACACCTACAAGAGTCTTGCATAGTGTATCCAGATGAAGTGACTAAGGTGCCAGGAAGACGAGAGTTTAAGAGCAGGTGATTGCAAGTGTTGGGTTAGTTGCCTGTTTCTCAGACACATCTTAAAATGCTCTTGTGGAGGGCGAGTCACTGACTGAAATGGAAATCTCTCAGTTTGTGCTAGACTTTTGCATTAGCACTTTTCTGGTTGTGACTCTGTGAGACATAAGTTGTATCCATTCCCTTAAAAAGGAGAAAGAATGAACATTTCAGGTGAAATCTCAGGACCCTTTCAAAAGGGAAACTAAGTTGGACTAAACTGAGTTGCTGTTGTTTGCCCGTGATCTTTGTCTTTGAGAAATGTAATACAGTCTGGCTGCCTCTAGGCTGCTAGGTAGCGAGAATAGGATTGTTTTCATTAAGCTGACTAGTGTGTATCCTTTTATTTCAGAATGCTTCCAGGACCACTCATGATGTACCAGTTTCAAAGAAGTTTCATCAAAGCAGCAAGTAAGTTTTCTTTTCACCACAGTTTTCAGGGGAAAGGAATAGATTTTTCTATTTCAAAGAACAGTCAGCGTCCCAAAATAAGTATTACCTAATCCCTCGTATTCTGCGTGTAAACTACCCACATAAACACTCATGAGACCGTCACAGAATAAAAGCGAAACCAAGTCAGATTGCTAAGGGCCTTGTTAGCACGTTGAATTTACAGTCGAGGGGAAAAACTTCAGAAGTGAGTTTGGGGGTGACGGAGAGGTGAGAAAAGCAAGTTTGCCTTTCTACTTTTGATTACTGGAGTTCTAACTCCTTGGGTTTTTTCCAGCCCTGGAGTAGCATTTTTTGGAATGAATCAGACTCTGCCCATTACCTAAATTGAGCATTGGACGTATTTCCCTGAATCTGGCACCATTTATATGACGTCCCAGTCCTCTTTCCATCATGGCTTGCGTTTATAGCTTCTGATCATTCTTCAGCTATATCATCTAAGCCCTGAGTGTCATATTACTGGTATTAAAATACATAGGGTTTAGGTGCAAGCCACCCTAAGTATACTGGACTCTGTCTATGTGGGGCAGGCCACCTGTAAGGGGCAGTAAGATTCTCTATCAGATTTAAGTCTGGCATGAATCCCCACCGTGCTATTATGTCCATAGCCTGTGCCTCTCCCTGTTTCCTTTAAGCCGTCAGAGTTTGTTTACCCTGGTAGCTACTACTGGCCTAATTTAGGAGTACCTCTGTTCTGGTGGCCTTATCCACACATAGCTGTCCCCGTAAAGCAGGAGAAAGACCTGGGAGAAAGCTGGAAGTGAAGGTGCTGTTTATGTGATTTCTTTCTCTGAGAAATTCCAAACCCATAGCAACCATTCTCTAATTAAACCTCACCTCAGTCCTATAAATAGGTGTGATGAGTGCCATCAGTGTATTTCCCAGAGAAACGAAGCCACGTACCCAAGTTCAACCAAGAGAACGTGACAGCCCATGATTTAGGTTACAGGTTGGCAGAAACATTTCCTTATTTTATCTGCCATTCCTTTCTTCTCCCAGGCTGGTTGTCACACATGACTTGAGAATAACTGGACATTTCCCTCGATGTCTTTGATGCTGTCTCGAAGTGTTATTTTGATATTTGAGACCCTTGCAAGGCTGTTCATGTACAATTTGTTTATCCCTTGACGAGTGCATAAAGTTCCTTCCTTCCTTGAAACGAAGCTGCCACTCTGTATAGCCAGCTGCTCCCGAGTTTGTTCCTGCTCCAAGTATGCAGTTGACTGGCTCCATTTCATCACATCATCATTTTGGTGTGAACTTTTTGACGGTCATTTTTTTTTCATAGTTGCTCGTTCACATGTTTATTCAACAAACATTTATTGGGCACCGGCCACATACCTATCACCGTGTTAGGCACTGGCTAGAAGGGAAAATGGAGGCCCAGAAGTGTTAACTGACTTGCTAGAAGTCCCTTGCTGAGAACCTCAACTTTTTGATGCCTGTTGGTCTCAGAAGGTAATTTCTGACTTTTTAAGTGAGATCAGTCATGTTTCTTAATGAACTCTGTTACGGAAAGCAGCATTAAAAGCACTTCTAGATCTAGTCAGTCTAGTCACAAGTACACAGAACAGGATCTTATACCTCTGAGAAATCCTCAGTCTCTTGTTCCCAACATTTGGTTTCCTCTGATTTTTGTCTTATAAACTGGTTTAACTGTGGCCCTGATCCAGTATCGCCTCCCTCCTTCCTTCACAGAGCTGGAGAACCAGGAGTCACGGGTCTCTGAAATCCACAGCCTTGTTCATCGGCTCCCAGAGAAAAATAGGCAGATGTTACAGCTGCTCATGAACCACTTGGCAAAGTAGGTTTAAGACTGATTGCTGGCCTTTCTCTCAGCCCTGGAAAGTTCTTATCTTAGCACTAAAGCTGGTCTCAGTTCTGCTTATGTTTCCTTCTCCCACTGTCGCATCAGGTATGCTGGAGGCTCAGAAAAGAAATGTGGGAAATATTAACTGCAGTGGGTAACAGCAGCACATGCCAGATGGGCTTTGCAGCGGAGGCTGGGGAGGTGCCCAGGCCACCAGGCCACCAGGCAGAGTTTGCAGGGGAGTTTGTGTTCTTGTGATGATTAAGGCCAATAGGAGTGTGTCCTCCATGATACCAGGTCACCAAACAGATTTTTCAGGAGTTACATGTTCTTGTGATGATTAAGAGCAAACAGGAATATGTTACAAGTTTACAGACCTTGGATTTGGAATAAAGAGGTCTGGCTTCTAGAGTTGATTCTGTTCTTAACAAGCCACTTAACGAGCCCTGGACAAGCCACTGACCCCTCGATTCCTTAGTTTCTTCATCTGTCAAATATGGATAGTAGCCTCCCCCTTCTCTGTAATGTCATTGATTTTAAATGTATTAAAGCCTTTGAAGAAGTATAAAGAATAGAGGAGAATCAAAGAAAGTCAGTGGGGGCCTGATTTTCCTGCTAGGGGTATTTATACTCTTGGAATGGTTTGGATTTTTTGTGTATTTACTGGTGCCTGAGCTGCTTTGGATTGGCCTTGCTGATACCCCTTGCTGTATCAGGCACTACATGTGTGTATGTTCTAACCTTCTCTTAACTTTGATGGATGTTCTTTATTGGCGACTAGCGCATAGGAAAAGACAGACTATAACAGTTAACCTAAATTGTTAAACTCTACATGCTGTGGAACTCACATGTTATCATTTCAGCTCTTACCCACACTTTGTTCTGGCGTTAAGTCATGTCTTTGGGATAATTTGATACTCTGCCGAGGGAGATTATGATTTGTTTTCATGTTTCTACCAAGCACTTGATATTTTGGAGAGAGAGTATAGATGTTACCATAAAGATTTCCATAGGTCTTAATGGTGAAGGAACAAGAGTTTTGCATGCTGGTGAGAAGCAGTTAGGCCGAGTAAAGGGTTGCTCCATTCCAGGTCACATATTTTTTCTTGCCATGCCATCTCTGAACTGCATGTTTAGAAACAATTAAGTGTAGCTGAGAACATGCAAATTTTCAAGGAGTATATGCACCTCCCCCCCAAATGTCAAAGAATCCTGATGAGTGTGTTTAAAATAATGGGAACTGGGCTTTAAAAAGTAACTCCAGGTGCTCTGACATGACGGTGTGGTGCCTATTCCATACAAACCCAGTCAGGCATTTGTGAAACGGGAAAGCTGGCTTAGATCTTAGTTGCACACTTGAAGGGCCTGCACCCAAACAGAGGAAGTTCCGGGTACATCGTCCAGCCAAGCATGTGTGGCGATGCTGCTGACTATTTAATGCCCACTGGGTCCTAGGGAGGCCTCCATGGCTTCTGGGAGCAGCTAGAGAAGGGATAGGAAGCAGCTGAAGGCAGTCAGGCTGTTCAGGCTGTGCAGTGTGATGAGAGCTTAATTGGACTGAGAGAGAACAAGAGTTACTGGTGATCCAGTAAAGCCAGAACTGAATCTTCCCATTTTTAAAATGCCCTGAGGATTGTTAGGAATCCTAAAGAAAAAGAAATAGAAATAAAAAATCCAAAACCCTTAAGGTGGGTATTGGACCAATGAACTGTTCATCTCCCGGTGGATGCTTCACTTTCTCCCTCTGGTTCCACCCTCTTCTCTCCCAACCCCATTAAGTTCAGTCTTTGTCCCTAAGCCAAGGAGAAGTACAGCTGGAATGTGCATGTTAAAGCTGTGGCCTTGACTTTTTGCCTTCTAAAGAATTTAAACCAATTTTGTTGCTGGAGTATTTATTTTATAGCATTTCTGGAGCATTGTGTGTTATCTTTGATACTTAACAGTGATTTTCTTTGGTTCTGTGAGGTTAAGTGGCATTTCTTCGTTCATGTGATCATTAAGAAGTCTGCATATAGACAAGCTCTCATGGCTGTAATGTGAGTTGCTCATGATGGTAGAACACACAGACTCCCGTTATCAGCGTGCTGTGTTCTTGGTCTCTGGAGCCTCTAGATTTAAAATGTCCTGGAGGAGATGAGTATAAATGAGCACTGCTGAATCCAGTAAGGAGTATTTACTTCAGTTTGAAAAAATGTTTTGGCACCCAGAGGAGTTCTAAGAGTCTACGTAAACTCTCTATTCTCATTTACAGCACTGTCCTGTTTTAAAATCGAACAGGAAGGGAAAGTTAACTTGGGACAAGGGGTGTGTCTGTTTCGTTCCTGTTTTCTCAGGTTCAGACTTACCCAAGGATATGCATGAGCTATTGTTCCTCTGGTCTACTTACTTAATGGTCAGCTTCCTTCCTAAGTTTTGGTTTCAGGGTTGGTTCTGCTGAAAAACCTGGTGTTTACTTCTCTCATTACTTACTGTGTTTGCCCTGTACATCCCAGGCATCTGGTTCAAAGGGAAGATATTTTTTGTATTTTTTAAAGTACTCTTTTGAAACACTTTACAAAATTGATTTCCTTTAGCTGTGGAGGAAGAGTTAAGACATTTTATATTTAATCCCAAGTAGAAATACATTCAGAGGGGAAAGAATAAAAACTCCAGACCTCCACGCAGATGATTACCAGGGTACATCCAAATCACAGAGCTCTTGGATTTGTTTCAGACCTCAGAGGGAGCATAAAAATTATAGGCAACTCTGCACATATTTTTGTTGTCCCAGCTTAAATCTACTATGAAAATTAGATGTTTTCTATTTGGAACCTGGAATCTAGTATACAGTCTGGAGTCACGTGCCTCAAAGGATGGTTACACTCACCTGGGGTGCTCGTTTGCATTGACATTTACATTGCTGGGCCCCCGCCTTGATCTGCTGAATTGGACTCTGCCTGGGACTCTGCATTTTAAATTTACTTCCCAGGCAAACAGTCTTTTGAGAACCACTGGCCTAGAGAATGGCCCATACGCAGGGATTCTCTAGGAGGGAGAAATGGTATTGAGAGGAATGGATTGGAATTTAGGAGGTTATTAGAAATAGGGAAGAAGAAACTCAAAGCAGTGAGTTCAAAAAAGGAGATTTTATTTGCATAATTAAATTACTAAAAAAAAAATTGGTTGTGACTTCCCATGTCTCTACAGTTATTCGCCTTTCATTAAATTGAGTGTTCAGCAAATGACTTTGTTTTAAAATCACACACAAAGCATTTTTAATAATAAAGAAAATTGCCCCCAGCTGGCTTTGGGACCTTGTGGAAATCATTCAACATCTCTGAGCCTGGTTTTGTGACTTCCCTTCCAATCACGTGAGTCTGTGTTTTCGTCAGATAGAAAGGGGGCAAAAAAAGAAAAAAATTCCCAATCTTATAATTGTAGAAGGAAATAAGAGTAGATGAGTAATAAAGACTAATTTCATGGTAGCTCCCCAATGTTTGCATACTATTATGACTCCAAGTACGTTGTATATCCCCACACATACCATTCACAGTGGCTCACTGGAACTTTATTACAGTGTTTATGCTGCATGGGAGGATTTCAAAGAGCTCTTCATACATCCGGAATGGCTATTAACAATACCTTTTCACAGCTGGTTTTCCCGAAACACTTACTGAGAAATAAATCTTAGTCTCTTTTCTTTTTTGAAGCAACTACTCCTTTGTTGCCTGGTGTTGTCAGGAAGCCAGAGCCCTTTTCTTGCTTCTCCAAAGAATTGCATCATTTTAGATGCTTCGGGCTGCAAGAAACAGAAAATCCAATTCACAGTGGCTTAAACAATAAGGGAATCTGTTGTGTCATTACACAGAATCAGTCCTGAGAGTTGGTTAATTTCTTGGCTCATGACGTACTTGTGTTGTTTCCACGGTCCTGCTCACAGCCAGCTTCACTGTGTTGGCTAAGCTCCTTTCAAGATCATAAGATGTTGTGTTGCATATCTGCACATGAGCGGCTGTCCAGGGCAGTAAGGTATTACAGTTGATCCCTGAGCAGCATGGGTTTGCACTGTGGGGGTCCACTTATACATGGGTTTGTTTTTTTTTCCCACTAAATATGCACTGTTTATATGCATAATGCAATATGTTGAATCCATGGATGCGGAACCACGGATATGGAGGGCCAACTATAAAGTTATATTAGGATTTGCAACTGTGTAGAAGTATGGTTCAGGGGTAACTGTATTTCTTCCCTGAGTCTCTTTTTAAGAGATGTGATGATACTTTTCCCAAAAGTTCTCCAGTAGACTTCCTATCACATCTCATTGGTTTGAAGCATTCACTAGCAAAGGGAATGGGACCACTGTGATTTTTTACCCTAAACAGGATTTACCTGGGTCATTTGTGGGAGGCATGGATACCCATATAAAAGCAGGGCTCTGAGTAGGCAACGCACAGTGCCTACTGCAAGTAATCCAGGTAAAATAACATTTAACAAAGAGTATTAAGTCTCTTGAATGATCTTTGCATGGTGTGCTAACTCGATCAGGACATGTGGGACAAGAAGGCCAGTTTGGGAGGGGAGATTAATACACCTGCCATGTGGGCACATATACCCTGAAATACCAAGATTTGTGGGGATGGAGGGTGAGAGAGAGAAATGAAGAGGGCAAAATCAACTTGGGTCCCATTGCCACTTGCTGATTCTCTACTGTTCTTTTCATTACCCAATTGCTTAATGTTTACTGGGATAATCTGTTACGTGTGACTTTCCCAAAAGGACAAAATTCTATAGATTGCAAGGATCAGGAAGGAATATTGTGGGGCAAATGCTTGGCATACAAATGAGACCTTATCAAAATAATATGTAGACTCCATTGCTGTAAGTTATCCATGGTTGAACATCCAGTGGCTTGGCTGTTTTCTCCTTCCTGTGACTGGAGTTTGAGTACTTCCAGGCATCCCTGCAAGTCAGGAACGACGTATTCACAGTTCCTTAATGATCTAGATGCAGAGTGA